CTCCGGGGATGCAACTCTTTCCGAAAAACACAGGGTGTTTCGCGGTTTTCTACTTTTCTGCTGACTTTCTCTTCTCTGACTTTGCCCAGAAGCCGGAAGTTTGACTTCAAAACTTCTTTCGACACATGCCAAATATCAATGTAATGAATATATTGGAATCATTGCTTGCGAATTCTTGCGGGCTTCGGATTTGTTCAGGAGCTGGAACGAGTTTCCCAAGTGGCAGTCCGAACTTTGCCCTGGCGTCAAGAGTGGTTTCCTGGCGTGCGGCGCTCGACTCTGAAATCTGCACTAAGATCAACTTAGTGAGACAGTCAAGACAACTAGTTTAAGTTTCAGTTGGCCACTCCTTGAACAGAATCCAGCGCTTGTCATTCTGTAAAACTTTTGCGCGACAGGAACCATAGATCATCACGCACAGGTGCGTTTGAGGCTTCTTTGTTGGATTCCTGCCATGCTCTGCAGCACAATCAAACTGACAACACAACAGCTGCAGCTGTTTTCATGAGTGCGCTGCTTTGCATTGTCGGGGCAGACACTGGCTGGTTGCTTCCGGTGGAAATCAGGACGGGCAAGACGACATTAGATGGGGTTGGCATGGGTTTACCGAAAGGATGCTCAGAGACCAGACTGAAACACACATCTCAACTGGTTTGACAGCACCTGAAGGTACAGGGATGCCGTGGTAGCCCCTTGATTTCATGTTTCACCACTTTGTCAGCAGCACGGCCTGAGAGGAAGTTCCTTCCAAGGCCAGAATCTGTCCCAATCATCTGTTCAACAGAGCACCCGGCGCGTTTCCGTGGCCACTGAGGCCTTCATAATCTTGATATATCTTGAGCTTGCTTCATCATCCTTATGCAATTGATATCAACTGACCCTTGAGTGATGACTCCTCACCGACCTTGGGACATTTCGGGATGATCAAACTGCATATCCAACTGCCAGGACCGGGCGCATGAGACAGGAGGATCGGAGCTAGTAGAAAGACAGTGGAAGAAAAACACGTATTGATGCAGAATAGACCTTGCATATCCTTGCGTCGGTCGTTGAGATCTACAATCTATAGGAGTTTTTTCAAAGCTTTTTCAAAGGGCAAATCACCAAGCTGTAATGATCTGGATGATGATTTGGATGTGCTTGACGAGGCAGCAAAATCTGAGAGCATAGAACTCGTTCCCGTCAAGGTGAGACAGGCCCACGGCACGGGTCTGAAGGTACAAGCCTGTTCCCTTTTCCCAAAGTGGTTCACTTTCACATTTTGACTCATGCTGTATTGCCAGTTGAAGCTACCCGGCATCATCAATCCAGATGTGATGGATATCCTTGCGCTGCTTGTCTTCGAGAAGCGTTTTGAAACATTTTGGTTCTTTGATAATCAAGCCTTCGTCGTCGCATCTGTTGTGAGTCACTGTATTCGAGTCGCTTCGCGACGAGCCGCCCGCGCCCAGGGAATAGGATAGAGAGGAAAGAAGCAAGCCTACTTGGCCCAACCAAAAGCTGACGGGGTCAAACTTGGCCGTCCTTGGCCTTAAGGTCGGGCCATTTGGCCCCAACTTGCCCCAACTTGCGTTCAACTTGAGCCCAACTGGGGTCCAACATGGCACAACTTGGGCAGTTGGGCTAGAATGCGCCGCTTGGTCCTGTGTGGGGCCCAAGACAGGCCCAATGAATCAGGATTATGACTGTTTCTTTCGGGATTGTTTGGGATTGCATTGGCCTCACTAGTTTTAATACATTGCAGTAGGAGAAGGGGTTCAGAGAAACCACGCAAGCCTCTAAGCCTCTAAGCGCCTAAGCCTCTAAACGCAAAGAGACTGGGCAAAAGCGCATAAGCCTCTAAGCGCCTAAGCCTCTAAGCGCAAAGAGACTGGGCAAAAGCGCATAAGCCTCTAAGCCTCTAAGCGCCTAAGCCTCTAAACGCAAAGAGACTGGGCAAAAGCGCATAAGCCTCTAAGCCTCTAAGCGCCTAAGCCTCTAAGCGCAAAGAGACTGGGCAAAAGCGCATAAGCCTCTAAGCCTCTAAGCCTCTAAGCGCCTAAGCCTCTAAGCGCAAAGAGACTGGGCAAAAGCGCACAAGCCTCTAAGCCTCTAAGCGCCTAAGCCTCTAAGCGAAAGAGACTGGGCAAAAGCGCATAAGCCTCTAAGCCTCTAAGCGCCTAAGCCTCTAAACGCAAAGAGACTGGGCAAAAGCGCATAAGCCTCTAAGCCTCTAAGCGCCTAAGCCTCTAAGCGCAAAGAGACTGGGCAAAAGCGCATAAGCCTCTAAGCCTCTAAGCGCCTAAGCCTCTAAGCGCAGAGAGACTGGGCAAAAGCGCATAAGCCTCTAAGCCTCTAAGCGCCTAAGCCTCTAAGCGCAGAGAGACTGGGCAAAAGCGCATAAGCCTCTAAGCCTCTAAGCGCCTAAGCCTCTAAGCGAAAGAGACTGGGCAAAAGCGCATAAGCCTCTAAGCCTCTAAGCGCCTAAGCCTCTAAACGCAAAGAGACTGGGCAAAAGCGCATAAGCCTCTAAGCCTCTAAGCGCCTAAGCCTCTAAGCGCAAAGAGACTGGGCAAGAGCGCATAAGCCTCTAAGCCTCTAAGCGCCTAAGCCTCTAAGCGCAGAGAGACTGGGCAAAAGCGCATAAGCCTCTAAGCCTCTAAGCGCCTAAGCCTCTAAGCGAAAGAGACTGGGCAAAAGCGCATAAGCCTCTAAGCCTCTAAGCGCCTAAGCCTCTAAGCGCCTAAGCGCCTAAGACCAGCGCATAAGCGCCTAAGCGCCTAAGCGCCTAAGCGCCTAAGACCAGCGCATAAGCGCCTAAGCGCCTAAGCGCCTAAGCGCCTAAGACCAGCGCATAAGCGCCTAAGCGCCTAAGCGCCTAAGCGCCTAAGCGCCAAAGCGCCTAAGACCAGCGTATAAGCCGCATAAGCACCTAAGCGCTCAGCGCCCCAGACCAGTCCATAAGCGCATAAGCGCCTACGCGCCTAAGACCAAACCAGGGCTTGAACGAAAGAGATGCCTGAAACGAAAGAAGAGCATACAGAAACGAAAGAAGGACTTCGAACGAAAGCCAGCAGGAGTCCAACGAAAGAGAGAAGATTTCAAACGAATAAGAGGAGTCGAACGAACAAGATAGGACTTGAACGAAAGAGAGGCCTGAAACGACAAAAGAGCAGAGAGAAACGAAAGAAGGACTTCAAACGAAAGCCAGCAGGATTCCAACGAAAGAGAGCGGTTGCAAACGAATGAGAGGAGTCGAACGAACAAGATAGGACTTGAACGAAAGAGAGGTCTCAAACGAAAAAAGAGCAGCGAGAACCGAAAGAAGACTTCGAACGAAAGTCAGCCGGAGTCCAACGACAGGGAGAGGTTTCGAACGAATGAGAGGAGCCGAACGAACAAGACAGGACTTGAACGCAAGAGAGCTCTCAAACGAAAAAAGAGCAGAGAGAAACGAAAGAAGACTTCGAACGAAAGCCACTTGAACGAAAGAGACGTCTCAAACGCAAAGAAAGCAAAGAGAAACGAAAGAAGACTTCGAACGAAAGTCAGCAGGAGTCCAACGAGAGAGAGAGGATTT